GGACTCCACAGCGTAATGAGTGACAACACTATAGGTTCACACTTTATGCCGCTAACTACGTGAAAAGACGACCAATAAAAAATGCTAACTACATTTTCCATTCAGACTAGACTCCTGATCTGAGTCTGGGTGTCACAGAGGCTCAAACATGGCTGAATCTCTCTAATGTTTCCTCTAATGCTAGCCATCTTCATGCTTTCACCGGTCAGCCCAGCAGGAAGCAGTGGGGGGTGGGACATCCACAGCTTCCAGCCCCCTTCTTAAAAAAAGCTTTAATGTAGGAAAACTACACGTTAAACCAAATATTAATCACAGCAGAGTATTATTCCATTCTTTAAAATGCATCTGGAGTGGAACATTAAACGGCGTGATGACTCTCACGTGTCTCTACTTCCACTATATCTTTCCACCACTCTTCATCGGAGTCTTCAGCCCAAAGGGAGATCCTTCCCAGAAGCCAAATGTTGAAGTCATGAAGTTTGACGTAAACCACATGGGAGCAGAGGCCTATTTAAAGCTCGGTGAGTTAGCCCATGTCTGTGCAAATGTGCTGAAATATCACGAGCAGCTCGAAATAAGCTGCACCTGGTGCTGACATGCTAAACAAGGTCTCACTGAAGTTCACTTTGTCACTCATAAAACAAAAGCCTGCACATAGAAAAACAGCAGCACTGGCTTTGGGACAAAGGTGAGTCCGATAAAACGCACTCAGACGAGGATTTAGGTTGTTCTTGGAGCAGATCCTTAAAAGCTGTGGAACATAAAGAATAAAGCTCCTAATTATTTATGGTAATGTATTCCTAGAAAGCTCTTTGTGGCTCTGACAGAGAGGGCAGCCGCTGTGCCTGAAGTCTGGAGCCAACACTTCTTCTATTAGGACGTCTGCACTCATTATACCCCCTCCCACCTGCTGATACGACACATCTGTGACTGAGGCACAACACAGAGCTCACAGGGGACACGAACACACAGATTACACTGTTCAGTCTCTAATGCATTCACTCCTGGGGGGAAATAAACAGCTACAGTATGTTTAAACTCTTTAACTGAAGAGGTTTATGTGCTTTTGTTCGTAGAAACTTTTGACAGCCCCAGCGACAATTCATATAATAATGATTATTTTCATTATCGATGATTCTGACGTCCTCAAATGTCTTGTTTTGTTCACAACCTAAAGATATTCAGTCTACTGTCATCGAGGACTAAAGACAGCAGAAACATTCACATTTGAGGAGCTGAAATCAGAGAATTTAAATGA